GCTAATGCTGCCCCACCCATATCAAGTCTCCTAGCTGGATAAAGCAATTTCTATATGTGTCACCACATGAAAGGGAATGAATCAAAATAAGGAATTCCCTTATGCTAGGGAAGATGTACCCATCAGACTACCCAGTGCAGTCTCACTGTAAGCCAGTCACCATTGGTGTCTCAGCTCCTTTTTCTTCAACCTAAGACATGGTCTAAAGAAAGTTTTCAAAGGGTACAGAGTCTAAACTATAATTAGTCAAGAGGGTGTGCATCAGGGATGCCAGATTTTATTCATTCAGCAAAAATTTGTTGAAAGTCTGTTAGATTTTCAGGTTGTGTGTGTGTGTGCGTGTGTGTGTAATCTTCACAATACCCCTCCCAATGGAATATAGTATTATCAATGCAACCTAGTTACTACATGGAAGGCAGGGTGGCAGGGTGATCATTTGACCTTGGTATTGACTTCAAACTCTTTTCACGACGACATGCTCAGTGCCCAGCATAAAGCATTCAAGGAGCACTGAGTAAATTGATGTGATGAAAACGAGAAGGCCAGTTTTGTTTCATTGTTTTGTTGCTGCTGTCTTTGTTTTTCCTGGCCACACATTTGTATTCCGTTCCTTACCCTGTTCTCTTCAGTGCTTGGGGCAGAGGGAATAGGGAGGTAGAGGAAATTCCCCAGACGCAGACTGGCAGATGTAGCTGAAAGGCCCCCGGGACACTAGTAGCAAGAGAAACTGAATAGCAGAGTCCAAGGATGTTATTTTTAAAAGGGACTCAATAGCTTTGTCAGCAGAATGTTGGAGAACAAACCAGGCATAGCTCTTTCTTTCCACTCTATCTCTTCTCTCTCTTTTAACTCTGTCTCTACCTTTCTATCTGTATATTATCTATCTGCCTATCCACCTATCTACGTCTGTCTCTACCTCCTCCATTCTTGGGTTCTGTTGGTTCCAAGCAGACAGATTTATCACGGGCTTCAAGAGTCAGGAAGAAATTAGCCTTCATGAAAACTCAGCTCGAGCCCCAAGTCCTGCCACTCTGAGAGGTCTCTTTGCTAAGGAAATAAATTAAACCATCTTAGAAAATAGATCTTATATAATTTTATTATAATCTTGCCCTATTTGTCTTCCCATTGGAGAAGAAGGAAGATTGTACCAAGAGTCAGACAACCCCATGATCATATCCTCAAAAGGATGCATTTTCATCATTACGTAGACACTGTGTATAGTGGAAGATCTCTCTGCTAGGTGTAAAAAGGACAAGCTTTGACTTCTTGCTCTGCTACCTCCTCTCTCTGTGACCTGGAAGCAGATGCCTTGCCTTTTCTAGCTTTCAGTTTTCCATTAGATATAGTGGGTGAAGGAGCTGGCCTTGCACATACCATCTCAGGTTAATCACTGAAACAACACTGGGTAAATATTAGTACCTCCATTTTTTTTTCCTATATGAGGATAATGAAGTTTAGAGAGGTTAGGTTATTTTATATAAGTCATACACAGTTTATGTGTGGCAGGATTAGGATTTGAACCTAGCTTTGCCTATTGCCAAAACCCTATACCTCCATTTTTTTTTCCTATATGAGGATAATGAAGTTTAGAGAGGTTAGGTTATTTTATAAAAGTCATACACAGTTTATGTGTGGCAGGATTAGGATTTGAACCTAGCTTTGCCTATTGCCAAAACCCTTGCTCTTTTCAATCCCTTTTATTGGGCTTCTAAAAAGGAAAGCCCAGCTTTCTGGCTGGTGACTCTTGGATTGGGTTTAAGTTTTATTATATGTAAGTTGGCCATATTCACCAAGAGGTTGGAGCTACTGAGAAGTGCTGAGTTTGTATTCTTTCCATGCTGAACTGCCAGGCATGCTACTGGTCACGGGAGTTCTCAGCTGGCTCAGACCCATCCTTAAATAATTGAATTATAATGAATTGATTTATTCTGGCTCTTTTGGTGGTATTTCACTATGTAAACTGTTTGCAGAAATAAACAAGGGATTTCGGAGCTTGGAAGGGGCTCAACATTCTGCTGCCCCTGAATTCAATGACTCCATTTTTAGATAGTCAGCATCATAGAAATCAGAGTCTCATTTCTCCTTGACCCGGGCTCTTTCTAGTTAGGGGAATGTTGCTTGAAAGTGTTTCAAGCGAGTACTGATTTCACAAGCTGATTTAATTCAGCCACTTAGGAACAAATCAACCCCTTAGAAGTAGGTTATTTTTTCTTTCTCTTGATGATTATTTAAGAATATACAAAGCACATTTATGCTTACTTCCTTTGCGACTTCTATGGTTGTCCTGAGAGGGTGTCTTGGCTGGGAATATCATTTGTACATTAGGGCTGGGGAGCCAGAGGCTAACAAGAGAAACTGGTTGTGCCAAGTTACATAGGTAATATAAGGGACAGAAATCAATCCCTGGGCTTGGGCCCTAAATTCATTACTCTCTCCGGAGCTACTCTCTATTATTTTGGAGTAAACAGGGGAAGGATGTTCTAGATAAAGCAGTGTTTTTAGTGTTACTGTATGTTCTGATTTGCCTGGAATACTTAGATTTTCCCAGTATATGTGCCTATTAGGACATAATTTTTAATAGTACCACTGTCATTCTCAAAGTGCTCTAGTTGAGATGATAAATTATAAGGTAAGACACTAAGACACTGGGTAGGGACTACATCTTGAGGAGCTCAGAATCTTTCAGAGGAGCTACAACATGTAGACATAATGATAGCACAGTATGATAAGAATTAAGGTAGAGGTCGTTATAAAATAGGGACCTACATAAGAGGGGATATTTAGCTTTGCCTAGAAAAGAGAGGAGCTACAACATGTAGACATAATGATAGCACAGTATGATAAGAATTAAGGTAGAGGTCTTTATAAAATAGGGACCTACATAAGAGGGGATATTTAGCTTTGCCTAGAAAAGTTGGAAAATAGCAAAGAAGACCTAACATCAGAGTTAATAAAACATGGACAAGGTGACCTCTTTCAGATGGCCACATCTAGGTTTCTCCTTGTATTGTTCTGTGTTGAAATACCAAGAAACATACACAGATCATACCTGCTTAGAAGACATTCTGCGGCTGGCTCTGTTTTTCTGTGATCCTGATCATTGCCGATAAATGAGACTCATTGCAGCAAACATGCCAAGTAGAATCCTTCCTGTGGTTTGAATTACATGGGAGCTTAATTATTCACTTGGTCTTTAACTGAAATTCCTAAGGTATCTGACAAGTCCTCAGAAGCCGAGAACATTAGACAGGAGTCCCAGTAATGTAACCTCCTTCTCTGCTCTGATGATTGAGCCCAGAAAGGGAAAAAAGCTTGCCTAAAGCAACACAGCAATTTAGTTTGAGAGCTTGGACTGAAGCCAGTGCCTCTTGTATATCACTTTATGCTTTATGTAATACTGAAATCCTCTTTGGAATTAAATAAATTCCCGTTTGCAACTGTGAAGTTCTGTGGTGTCAGATAATGTATCCAGAACTTGGAAAGTGAAATCCGGAGTTTGAGACCAAGGTAAATCTGTCATTAACACACTGTGTGACCTTGGGCAAGTTATTAATGCTGTGTGGAACTTCGGTGTCCTCATCTGGAAGATTAAAACACATGCAATACTATGCCATTATATGTAAGGGACTGGAGCATCCTCAGATTTTGGAATCCATGTGGGGTCCTGGAAACAATCTCCCCATGGACACCAAGGGACTATAATAATTAAAATAATAATACCATCCTCACAGGGTTTTTGTGAGGCTCATTTGAGTTAATGACTGTGGAAATGTTTGTAAAATTTTTGTGTGTGTGGCAAAGAAAAGAACAGGTGAGATCCATCCTGTTAACATATTTTTTTTTTTTTTGTCTTTTTTCGTGACTGGCAATGGATCGCAACCCTCAGTGTCGCCCCCGTACCGGA